TTTGTCAAAACATAGATTTAAAGGGTACTTGTTGTGTAATATGGAACTGTACGTCTATAGTTAGTAGTTATAGTTATATATATATATATTATATTAATGGAAACGTAGTTGTGGATAGTGATAAATTTAATACAATAGCAATAAACAATGAAAAGAACGTAGAATTAGAAGAAAGTAAAAAATATATATATTTTCTTATATACTTAATAGATTAGATGAAAACGTTGATCATATAAAGTAGGTAAATTGCGCAAATAAATAAATAACATGTGACAGCGCCATCTAGTCCAAAAATGAGAGAAGTTTGTACTATAGGTACTAGACAACTGATGAGTATATTGTTAATATAGTTTGTCGGGTCTTAACATGAACAATTTAATGGTAAATATAGTATTTACCACGTGTCGACTAATGGTCGAGGGTAATTTAACGTCCTTAATTACGAAGCTGTAAACGGAGTTAATATTGTAATGGTTTGTGTTGAGAACTGAGTAATTATATTATAGTTATACTATTACTAGCAGACATGGTCATGCCCGGAAGAGCAACGCCACAATCGGGTTCAATTATGTTCTGGAACCATCCAGGCACCTGATGCCTAATTGCCTACAAAATTTGACCAAATCGGTCCAGCCGTTTAGCAAGAAAATATTATAGTTGTTACCTAACTAGTATGAAAGTACTAGATACAGTTTGAATTTTTTATGAATGATAAAGGAACGATGCTCACGCCCGACCTAACGGTATTCGCTGGCGGGGCTTTAATAGTAGGTGCTAAATGATTGAATAAATGAAATAGTCAAGATTAACCAAGAATTATTCATGACGGTTAAGACCAGACGGTCGAAGGATGGTTGAAGGAGTTTGTCCTGACATGGTATAGGGGATTGTTATTAAAGGAGCCTGAAACTCCCGTTATTAACAATTCTATCCCCCCCCAGTAGCATTAGACCTATGCTTCTAAAAACAAATGTACAAACAAAATTAAAAATGTGTACTAAACTAAAAGTTACTACTAAAACTGAATATAAACGACTGCAATAGTCATAAATAAATACTTTTTTTATACATAAATAATATATAGTATATAGAGAAAATAATATATATATACACAGAATAAAATAAATATGTATACAAATATTTAAATATAACTGCACTACCAGAACCGTCAGACCATCGAGGTAGCCAAGGTTTTGTTCATACTTATTATATTTCTATGCAACGGTTATACACCCAAATGGGTACTGGGTGCAAAGTTTCCACTCTGTATATAATGGAATCCTCTGGTTTTAGATTGCGCGAGATAGTGCTTGACTCTGCATTGCATATATATATATAAATTTATTAAAATTATATAAATATATTGTCAAGTTTCAGGTATTAAGGTCGATTTTATTTTCGTGACTAAAATTGTTTTGCGAAAGTATATATTGATATGAATCCTTTATGAATTATATATTCCTTTGTTGATAAAAACAACTATGCTTCTACAATCGAAGAAACCGTTACCACTTCTATTTACATGTATATTTAGTTACATTATTGGGCCAAATATGCCTTTAAAAATTTTTCACAGATTGCCATCTAGTCTCAAACCCATCAGGGCTTGTATAGAGAGTAACCATCGGACAAATATATTCCTTTTGAAAAGAAATACAAAAAAATATGGTTTTAGAAATGAGCTAGACTCAAATTAGACTTTCACATTGTGACAACGACCTATTTTTAATAACGTTTCAACGTTTCTATAAATAATTTTAAATGCAGAGTCGCCGCGTATCTCATATATATTTATTCTTTGCAAAACATATAGATATTATTATATGATATTAGAGACTTTTAGTTATATTTATTAGAGAGTCACTGGAATATTTTAATCTGCACGCAGATGTGACGTTTAGAACATATTTTAACGAAATAGAAAAAAAAAATATTTATTTGTAAACACCGCCGGTGCGTAAACGGGCAATTTTTTTAGACGGTAGGATATTTTTAACGGAACAATTATTATTCTAATTACAATGTTTGAAGAGGAAATAATTTTAAGGTTATATAATGGTTTGTAATGAGGGTGCAATGAAAATGTATGCTTTTCTGATATTATATGAAAAGAAAAAAAAAAGTTTGCAAATAAACGAATGTTATCATTTAAAATTACATCGCTGCATAAAATTGGAAAATGAAACCAACATCATAACCATAAACGTCATTTGATATCTACCGTTTTAAATTTGACGCGGTCATTATTTATACGTATAATTAGTAAAAATCATTAGCAAATATATCGGGAAGTCAATAAAAATAAAACGTGGTGAGAACCCGTCATTTTACTAATTATATTATTGATATCGCCTTGGCATAAATTTTCTTTTTTGATGTGGCCGTGTAATATAATATACCTTTTATACTTACTATGATAATATAACATTTAATAAAATAACTCTGGACAAATAAGCGCCATCTAGTCCCTGATTACACTACTGACTACACTGCTAGAGACATTAAAATACATACATAATATACTTAAAGAACTTCCAGACCCAATAAACATAATAGTTTTTTTTAACTTTATTTATATGGTTAACCGGATCTTAACATTGACAGAGGATATGACATGTTATTTACTTAATCACCGCCCACTAATCTCTGTCTGCCCTATGGTCGACTACGAGAAAATGCCTTATGGTGTTAAATCTGCATCTACAAATCACCATCTACACCTTTATTTTTTTTTTGTATTTGTGCATTAAATTCAATTAAATTCTTCGACGGAGAAATAAGGTTACGTCAGATGATTCTTTTGCCTTGCGATATTTGACAGATGGTTTATCCAAGTGAGTACATTTGAAAGTGTGTTGTTTTATATCAAACGTCATGAACACTTACATTACATAAAAAATCCTGCAAAACATTGACGTGTTTTAACACTTAATAAGTATATTACGATACAAGTGCTTTATGATGGTTATAACACACGAGGCGGATTTTCAGTTTCAGCCCGTATGGAAGGCGAAGGCGTAATAGAGCCGAATGTGTTAAATACGCATGTTTATCGTACGACGTTTTTCAACACATTTGATTTTAAATAAACTCAACCATAAAACTGTGACGCACGCAGCTGCTTTCCCGCCGTTTTAGTTTTTTAAAATGCGCTGTCTAATGGCCGCCCCGCGCATCGGTCAGTTCAAAATTTGATAAAAAAACAGCATATTATGGAATATAACTTCACTATTAAGCTGCTTTATATATCTGTGAAATTGGATGCACTTTACGAGCAAGTGTGTTGAAAAATACATTATACCATTCTTTAATACCGATTTGACTTTTGGAACATAATTCCATTTTCAAAGTTGTCCAATTATTTGATTTCTGGTGTAGTTTGAGTTCGACAAAATATTTGTTACAGTTTCAATTTGGAATTCTACTTAATTTATTGTAATTATTTATGTATCTAGTATAAAACATTCAACACACATCTTTTGTATTTTGTTTTGTATGTATTAACACAACCTAATACAGCGGGTTCTTGATTTTTGTTAATAAAGTCCGCTGGTGGATTACAGTCGCTCCATAACTTAGAAGAATCATCACTAACTACACTACAATTTTTATGTTATCTACTCTGTGATTTATAACTATAAAAACAAAAAATAAAACAACTACACTTTCTCATTTACCACCAAAATAATGAAATTCTCATTTGTATTTGTTATTTTTTTATTATTTGAATACTTACTAATAATATGTTTTATATACGGTTGTTTTCCTATGCTTGCTCTGGATTATGGTAATTATTATTATTAACTATGATTGACTTAGTATATTAAGTAGTAATGTCTGTGTGAATTGACTGAAAATCTCCCTCAGATAATAAGTATACACTTATTATCTGAGGGAGATTAAGTGAAGGGTACTGCCATACGGCAGTACCCTTCACTTCTCAATTGCGGCCCATAATCAATAATAATAACATTCCTGAACAATTCACACAACGCCATCTAGTCCCAAGCTAAGCAGACCTTGGTTATGAGTACTATACTACTGTACTATATAAATACATTTTTTTAATACATACTTAATATACATAGAAAAGACCCACAACAAGAATTTACATTACTCTCATAAATAATAATGTTTGTACCGTGCGAGGAATCGAACCTGTGACTATTGGAAGTAAAGTGTTAAATAAACCACTACACCACTGAGGTCGAAATAATAAATGATAGAAAAAGTGATATGCTGTTTTAGACATTTAATATAGCAGTGCGCATTGCTGGAAGTGAAATATGAAAATAAAATAGTAAAAGAATCTCTTCTAACGTGGATAAAGGAATATATAAAATTGCCGGTGAATTCAATTATAGGTAACAGGTTAGACAATTTGAATTGAATTTTGCACGTGTTTAGAATTTTTTAATTAGACTTGTTTTTTTTTTATACAATTGGAACGGAAAAACAGTATGGACAGTCAGAATCCCAAAATGGAAGTGCTCCAACTGGCCACTATGATTTTGGAATTCGAAATGTTACATTATTGTGAGAAGAGTAATAAAAAGCGTACATCTTTATTTGCTAAATTATGTTGTTTTGGTTATGCATTTTATACGACACATTTTTTTATTTCATGAGGCAGTAGTATTTATTTTTATCACATGGGAGTGTTAGTTTAGTTATTTAGTTGAGTGATTTCAGTTGTTTCAAAATAAATTTTCACATAAACAGTAATATTCATATTTAAATATTTAAATTCTATTGACATTTTGGGAAAATATTGTGTGTGTAATATATGTTCATATTGACAAAATATTCTGTCTAAATTTGCATGCCTAAACTAGTTTAATTGTATGTTTTGAGTATAATATTGTTTCATTTCTCTTTTGTTTGTAGAAATAATGTTTATTAAAATAAACTCAAATTTAACCAAGTTTTAATCTTGACCACTTGATTGCTGTTAGTTCTGATAGATCAAATTGTAATTTACATGTTATACTTCATTTCAGGTCTTCTCCGTTACAAAGTAGACTTCCAATCGATGCAGTTGGACGATGAAGAAATCGACAATCTATACGACGTAGATGATTATTAGACGAAACGATCGCGGAGTCCAGAGTCTCACCGGGTGCCGAGTCTCGTCACCATCTGAGCGTCTGAGCCTCGTTGGGACTCCAACCGTGTCGGGACCTTAGCCTTATCGAGACCACGGCCTCGTTGGGACCCCAGCCCCGTCGGGGCCCTAGCCTCATCGCGGCCACGGCTTCGTTGGGATCTCAGCCTCATCGGGGCTCTGACCTCTGGGACTACAGCCTCGTCGAGACTCCAGCCTCTTTGGGATCTCAGCCTCATCAAGACCCTAGCCTCGTTGGGACCTCAGCCTCATTGAGACCCTAGCCTCGTTGAAGCTTAAGGCTCGTCGGAGGGGCCTCGTTTTATACCGTGTAAGACTGCTTAATTAAACAACTTTGGAAACTAATACTATACTCGAAATTTAAGTAATTTAAAAAAAATTGTTTGAAATACTAGACTGCGGATTTGTCAGTGTGTAGTCAACCGATATGTAGGTTAAATTAGAAAACTAATGTTTTTTTATATAATATTTGGTTATTGGCTGTATGGTATGATAATTTAAAAAACAGATTGTGTGTCTGTACAACATTATCCGTAGTCGATGTATTTTATAGAATAATAACAAAATAAACTAAGAATAGTTAGAAGAAATTGGATATTGTAAGAAACTCAATTAGGATGTTTAATCGTACTAACTATTACGTGTTTCAGACGTATCCTGTTGTCAATTGTATTAATATTGTTATAGTTTTGTATCGATTTCCAAATGTGAAATTATAAATGTCTAGTTGGCGCCTGCACGTGTTATTATAAAATTGTATATAGTTAACGTAAGTTACAAAAATATGCTCAATTGTAGAAGTTGAGTGTTTATGAATTCTAAATATTTGTATGTGGTGGATTTAAGGAGAATCCGTTTGTTATGACATCGCTCAGAAGTGACAAGCTCACATGTTTGTTTCAATATCGGTGGTCAAGCGGTTTAGCACACCGCTCTACATCCGATGGTCGCGGGTTCGATTCCTTGCACGGTATAATCATTTGTATGTGTGTTTGTATTGGTCTGGTTGTTTTTTTATATACGAGTATATTATGTGTATATTTACAAAAAATATAAATATCAGTTGTCTGGTACCTTTAATAGAAGATCCGCTTAGATTGGGACTAGATGGCGCTGTGTGTTTTTTACTCAGTCTTCTGCATTGGAGGGTATACGCCTATCGTCCAGTGAAATTATGACGGCCAGCTGCGACAACAGCATTAGTAGTCCGAAAAAAAGTACCTAAAAAAACCTGTATTCAAGGTTAAATGGTAAAATATGGGAGTAAATTACTCAGACATGGCAATAATTACAACTGGTGATGACGTGATGACATGATATCTGTGATAGGTGATAGTTGTCACCATCAAGTGTCCACCTGATTGTTTGCTACTCGGGTACCAAAATAAAAGTATTCCATTGTCAATACGCGCCTTGCCATAATGAACGGATTCCTCTGTAAGTGTAGATACAAAATCGAACGCGTTATATTAAAGGCAGCCACCAGCGGTCACGGTATAAAACAATGCCACAACGATTGCATTGATCTCTGTGTCGTATTGTTATGAATGGATTAGAATAAGACATGTTTGGTAATGGAGCTGACTTGTAAGTGCGTTATAAATAACTAGTTGACCCGCGCAACTTCGTCTGCGTATCGTTTCCCCACCTTTTGCAATACTTTTCATTGCAGCTCCGCTCCTATTGGTCGTAGCGTAATGTTATATAGCTTAAAGCCTTCCTCGATAAATGGACTATCCAACCCAAAGAAATTTTCAATTCGAACCAATAGTTTCTGATATTAGTGCGTTCAGACAAACAACCTCTTCTGTTTGTCGTTCTTGTTATTATAAATAATTTATTTTATTTAATTCAGGCTACATGGCCCATCATAAATACCTTATAGACTAATATGCATAGGAAATAATAATAAAATATTAATTCAAATTGGATCTATGGTCACAGCACCGACGACGGAAATCTGCCACGGTAGACCACACCTTTGGGCCAGTAGTCCTCCGCGTCACTCTTATGGCCAGGTTACTTTTGGTCCGGATATAGACGACGATGTCGTGTTCCTACAATGTCTTGGATTATTGCAATAGGTTATTCAATAGGTAAATAGAACCTTCAAGAAGCTAGAAGAATTACTAACGATTCCCTTACCTGAGGCTGGTCAGCTGGGATTTACAGACATGAAAATATTATTATTATTATTGATACATGTTTTTCAGAATTCACAATTGTTACTAATGTATCCTGAAAAGAGATTAAGTTTGCACTTAGTTTAAATATAAAGCACTTGTTACTATAGCTTCAATGTTACGCGACACAGTCTTCAATGTGGTCCATACGATGTTAATATCTTAACACTATGCAAACAATTATTATGTATTTAGTTTACGATTATATTAATTTAATTATAAAGGTTGCAACGGCCAATTTACAGGGTTCTGTAGCGAATTGCAAATACTTCAATTTTATACAAAATTATAATATTTTACGTATTAACTCTGTATTGTACACAGATAAAAAAGAATAAGAAAATTTATGTTAAATTTATGTCTTATAGACATGCGACAGACAGAACATAGCAATCTTTTTCAAGAAGGCTATATTAAAGTTTCTTAAGAGTCGGCAACGTGCTCGTGTCTCCCCTGCTTGAGTATACTGTGGACTACCGCAGTCTATGTACGGTAGTAGTCCATAGGCTACGGTAACCGTTTACCATCGGATGGGCCGTATGCTTGTTTGCCACCATCGTAGTATAAAAAAAAGACAATCTGCGTATATTTCTGTATTAATTGATATGGAATTTTAAATATATCTATCATAAATCTTTGTCTTTTTGGAAGATATCATTACATAGTATAAAATAATTTGCTGTCGCTCTCTGTCCGTCCTTATGTATGATCCATATTTAATAGATAGAGTAATTCAAGAGGAACGTTTATATGTATAATACATGTACACCCGGTAGCTAGTTATAAATAGTTACTTCTTTTCTATTGAAGTGTTAAAAATATGTTATTACTTGCTATTTGCTACGGAACCCTCAAATCGATGTGTTTTCACGCTATTGGTCGTTTTTTATCATATTTATTGTTTCAATTTTATGGGTAAGTCGACAATTGTGCGTTATGTGATATTTTTAAATATTACAACGGTGAAAACTTCTATATTTGTCTATTATTTTTAATTTATTAAATTTCCAGTTACCTTTATTCTCTATATATATATATATATATATATATGTATTCTGTCGACTTACCTCTTCACAAGTAGCAATTATTTATTTCGAATCCAATATTTATGATTGTAAAGTTTAATTTTCAATATCTTCGGTTTGCATTTTTTTTCTACGGTCATGCATTCCTAGACAAACCAAGGAACTGATATCTGTTAAGCCTTATGTATTTGCAAATAAGTCACAAAATTGAACGCAATGTGCCTTAAACGTTTTTGGTATGCGTCTTCCAATGTTTTTACGTTCGTTGTGTCTTGTTTGGTTATTGGACTTTCTGTATGTTATAAAATTAATTGCATATAACAAATCGTGTTATTTTTTTTCAATTTAAATAACCAATTTACATGTTACTGCTGGAGTAACGGACTTGTCACCGTGACAAATTTCAAAGTTACTCTCAATTCTATGGGAATATATGTTTAATTATATCCCATAATACCTGCAAACTTGAGACAATATTGTCATGATGACAAGTTGTCATCTGTATCTTCATTGCTTGTGCACCAATGTCATTAAACTCTAGGTATGACGAGCATTAAATTATATTACATGCATACATACGTGACAATTTGTCACCGTGACGTGACATATTGTCACGCATGTATGCATCTAATATAAATGCTTGTAAATTCATGTCACAGAAAAATCCATGTCATAAGTTTTAGTAAAATTGTAAATTTGAGAAATTATCACCCAACGTGTATTCGAGTAACTAAAGAGAAATCACGTATAGACAAATATATCTTTTGCTAAAGAATATTTTAATCCTTTGATGACCGACTGACAGTCCAATCTAAGTCTATTATTATCAATTTAAAGTCTAATCTTAAATGTTAGCATCTAACATTCGTTAGGGCACTAGATTAGCACTGCAATTTTTTCAATATGGAAATGTATAGGGCTGTATTCGCTGTGGACATAAAATCGCTCGAAAATATTTCTAATGACTGAATTGTCTATAAATAAATTCGAGGGAAAAAAATTACAATGTGGATTTACAACACAGATACTATTCATTCATAATGTTCTTTTACTTCCACAAAATTGGAGCCGCAGATATTTTCTACTATAAAATTATATATCGCTACTATATTTACTTTTATTGGGACAAAAACGTCGGTAAAGAAGGTTTTAGTTGAATGTTACTGATTAGAATAATTACCACGCAATGTTAACATTAGACGACTCTCTCTGAACTGTACGCAGTTATCAATAAAATGCTGTAGATAAAATATACTTTTGTTTTATTTTTTATCGGTGGTTACAGTTTTATATTAACTTGTAAATCTATTAACAAGAGTCGACTGCGCAATTAAAAATAGTAAGATAATTAAGTAACCTCTTTGGAAGTTAATAAGTTTTTTTTAGCTTGCATCGAACTTCACACTTAACAGGATACTATCATGACTGATCCCAGTATTCCGAGTAGATCCCTATATCTGAATACAACGTGGCAGGAGGTGAGCTTAAAGCTGTCATACCAACTATCTGTGAAAATGTCATCGTATATTATCTAATTCTTTGTGAGTGAAACTTACACAGACCATTTTTCTCTGGCCCACATTTTTATTATAGGTACCTGTATCTAAAGAACAATAAATAATTGGGTACTGAAATATATTTACAAAAAGAAAACTATGTAATAGATATATTTATTTCGTTTTCTTACATCAATATAAATAAAAAATAAATATACAAATTATCTCTAAAAAAAATAACTTAGGTACAGACGACCTGGGAGATAGAAGCTGGCAGCGTTGTAGGTGGTGCTGATGATGATGCTGAAATATTATTTTTCTAATGTATGATTATTCTTCATCTGTCTCGGCAAACAGTAGGTTTACGCTACCAATAAAGAAGTTAATCCATCGTAACGAATTCACCAGTAAGTATACAGACGGACCGCGCGGAAGTCAACATGGTACACAAGGGACACTAATTCCCATTACTAAACACCCCCTTCAAACAAATCTCATAATTATTGGTATTTTTGTAGGTAAATAACAATATAAGAGGCAATCGAAACGGTGATTAAATTTTTAGTTATTTACTTTGTTCATGCTACTAATTATCCATATAAATACCTCACAGACTAACATACATATGATATTATTCATGATTAACATAAAATTGTCTGTGTGGTCATGGCACTGATTACTGCAATCTGCCACGGTAGCGCGGATACACCACACCTTACGGCCAGTAGTCCTACTTCATGAAGGTGCTTAACATGACGGGTAGGAACTCGAGCCACAAACGCCTTGAAACTCGTTATGACTCGATTCCAGCTGCATCACCCTCAATGTAACGTTACTTTTAGTCCGTATGTAGTCGACAATGTCCTGCTCCTTAGTGGCGTAGTGTAGGCGGGACAGGTACATTGCCGTGGTCGGTGTAGTAGCAGTTATTTGATGGAGTGTCAAAAAGGGAAATAAAAACTGACAATGCTGTACCTATCTATGTATTTAGTGTGGACTTATTTTTAAATGTTTTCATTATTGGGTGTCAACATAATGTTTTCTTTTGTATTCATCTCTGTTTCAGTCATCTTGTTATTCACTTCCATACTTTTTCCAGGTAACACGTTTGTATTAAACTTATTTTTAAACGAGTTATCTCGAAAAAGCCCTACTAAGCGTTACTTTCTTTCTTTTCTCCTCTACCCAAAGGTCGTCGGGAATAGTTCGCTTAAGCGATAGGACCGCCTTTTGTACATATCTCTAAATATTATCTTTTCTTTTGTACTTTTTTGTTTGGTGCAATAAATAAATAATCGACATTAAAAGTTTATGTGAGTTTTCTTATTTGGTACCTTCACAAAATACCGATTTCACGTAAATTGTCACAGACTAGTAAGATACATCTGATCTCGACACGAAGACAAAGAAATGAAAACTTTTACTATTTAGCTTTAAAGATCGATTGAATGGTGTGATTCTCTTTATTTAATAATGCACTCGTATTAAACGGAATGTGAAAGTACAATTGTCATCAACTCCGAATGGAATGGAAGATTTTTGTTTGTATTATTTATAAAATATATTCAGTAATTTTGATACAAAAAAGGCAGTCGGCCTGTTTAAATTTTATTTTGACCCTTAATAAACCTTAATATACCCTTCTTGAAAAA